TCAGGCCCTCAGTCAGGGCTGAGCAACAATATAAGCTAGCCTCAACAGGCCTGGGAGAGGGGGAGACCGGCGTACCCACGGGTTGGGTGGCAGGGGGGACGCAGGCCCTCCCACTCCACTGCGTCCCAGCCCGGGGCCCTAGCAGCGGCGGAAACTCGCTGCTGTCAGTGGGGATCCTGGCTGCAACACACTGACATCGGCTCTGGCAGTGCAGCAGCCAGACTGGGGTCGGCTGCCCCCGGGCTACTTCCACACTCCCCCTCGGGGCCTACCTGGGGGCCGGTGTCGGTCTCGGGGGGATCCTGGACGAGGGGTTCGTCCGGCCAGGCGTCGTTCGGTAAGCCCGGCGGCTCCTGGGGGTAGCGGGTGCAGGGCAGGCCCGGCGGCTCCTGGGGGTAGCGGGTGCAGGGCAGGCCCGGCGGCTCCCGACGGCCGCCCCGGGCTACAGCGGTTTCCCAGCCCCGAGCTAGGCTGGAGACGTCTGGTCTCTTCGGCGGCTGGGGCCTGACTGGGTTCTGAGGGCCAGCCTTTATACTGCCGGGTTGCCACCTGACCCCGGGAGGGGCGGACTCAGAGCTCCCTGGCTCCGCCCACTGCGGCCTTCGGATGGGCTCTTCCCCCTCTGGGGTGCCAGGGAGCCACACCGCCTCACTACAAGGACCAATCCCCAACTAAATCATCCCAGCCAGGGCTTTGTCAAGCCTGACCTTAAAAACCTCTAATGATGGAAATTCCACCACCTCCCTAGGGAACCCATTCCAGTGCTTCACCACCCTCCTAGTGAAAAAGTTTTTCCTAATATCCAACCTAGACCTCCCCCACTGCAACTTGAGACCATTGCTCCTTGTTCTGTCATCTGCCACCACTGAGAACAGCCGAGCTCCATCCTCTTTGGAACCCCCCTTCAGGCAGTTGAAGGCTGCTATCAAATCCCCCCTCACTCTTCTCTTCTGCAGACTAAATAACCCCAGTTCCCTTAGCCTCTCCTCATAAGTCTTGTGCTCCAGCCCCCTAATCATTTTTCCAGCCCCCATATAATTTAAATTTAAAAAAATATTTAAAAAAAAATCACATCCCTAACCAACATTACCACACTGGCAAAAGTTTTAGTGTAGACCTGGCCAAAACCTTGTACCTTGGTCCAGGACTGGCTTTGGCAGACCAGTGTGGGGAAGCCAGGACTCTGTGTCCTTGGCTCACAGCAATGTTTCTTTCTTTGAGAAATTTCAGTCACATTGCAAGAAGAAATGAAAAACCTTAAATCATTTTAAAGTCAAACATCCTTGCCAATGTCTTGTCTGCAGTGATGTGAACATGGATGGCATCTTACTTCATACAACTAAAATACTGGACATTTTAAATGTAAGAACATAAGAATTGCCATATTGGGCCAGACCAATGGTCCATCAAGGCCAGTATCCTGTCTGCCGACAGCGCCCCATACCCAACTTTGGGGGCGGTGTACAGAACAGAGCTGTTGGAGTGATCAACCTCTGTCTTCCCCTCCTAGCTTCTGGCAGTCAGAAGTTTAGGGTCACTTAACCTGTGGCCCTGCCCCTTCCACACAAGGCCCCACCCTCTGCAGCGGGAGCCCTGAGCCCCCTCCCGTAGCCAGAGAAGTCTTGGGCCAGCTGTCTGGACCCCGGAGCCTCCCCTCCCCCACTGCCGCCAGAGCAGCCCCAGGCCAGTGTTCCACAGCAGAGCATTCCTTGGCCTATTATACCCGCCGCCCGTGGGGTCACCCAGAGCATGGGGTTGCATCCCTGACAATAGCTAACAGCCAGTGATGGACCTATCCTCCATGAACGTATCTAGGTCTGTTTTGTAGAGTCAAAGCTCTTCAGCAAGGAACTCGAAAGTAAGAACTGAGCACACTAGAAGACCTAAACTTGCCACCAACCAAGTGCAAGTAACGAGCATCTTCTCATCTTGAGCATGCTATTTCCTTGCTGCTTTTCCAATCTGCATCACAACACTTCCTTTCTCACCAGCAAAATACAATATGGGATCCCCCTGGAGAGCTGCCTGCCAAAAAGCAAAGTGGCTAGCAACAGGAATGACAAGATCACACCAGACTGAAATGGTGCAAATTCTATTAAACGGCATGAATGACCCTTGCTGCTTAAAGGTGCGGGTGATCCCGAGGTACACTGAGTAGCTCCTCAGTCTGCTAAGAGCTAGCCGGGCTAGTCACAGAGGAAGGTGCTATTCAGCAGGAGCAAGGGTGGCACAATCTAGCCCAGAGTGTTTGAAAGACAGAGTTGGAAATCGCTTGGCATCGGTGAGTGGGCATTAGCTTGGTTTCCTCACTGATGTAAAGCCACAGACTCATCTAATGCTCAGAAAATGGACCAAATGTGCTTCCTTTAGAGCCTCTTATGAGCCGTTTATGATCCGGGTTTAGAAAAATTGGATTTATCGGACAAAGCCGGCATCTTTTCTGTGAGGGTTTGCCTGCTCTACAAGCACAATGCAGTTATTGTGAGTGCTTCAACGCTCTGATCTAATCCTGCCTTCACACGGGATTGAATTGTGCCCGGGCAGCAGTTCTCCACAGCTGTCAGCTCATGTGCGCTCACTCCCACCTCCCTGCCCAAGTCCTGCAAACAGCGGTGCACATGAGCAATCCCAAGGGGCTCCTCGTGGGCCTGTGTTTACAGGATTGGGGACCCTGTTTGTGTAAGTTCCTTCTCTGCATAGCTCTCCTATACTGCCTCTGCCAGGGATCAAGTGGCTTTTGACATGCCCGCAGAATGGCACCAATAGGAACACTGTGCTAATACCTGGGAGAATGAGCTGAACTGAGTCGCACAGGTCCTGGGGCCCTGTTCACAGGGCAAAACCAGTGTCATGTACAGATTACAGGAACACAAGCAGGCAGGCCGGGGAGCTCAGAGAATAGCAAGAGCTGGAGAAAGGATGAAAATTCCTTTTGAATGTTTTATTCTAAAAGTTTTGCAAGACTTGTAATATTTGAAAACGGCTGCCCAGTCCTACTAAGCTGGCAAATAAAGAACTAAGCTTTAATCAACGAACAGGTGCAACTTTTATTCAACCAGTGCCAGCAACAAACAGTTGAGGTGCAGCTGGAAAGACAAATGCCTGGTCTACACTGGGTGGGCGGGGGTTCGATGTAAGATACGCAACTTCAGCTACGGGAATAGCGTAGCTGAAGTCGACGTATCTTATTTCAACTTACCTCCCGTCCTCACGGCGAGGGATCGACGGCTGCGGCTCCCCCGTCAACTCCGCTACTGTCGCTTGCCCTGGTGGAGTTCCGGAGTCAACGGGAGCGCGTTCGGGGATCGATATATCGCGTCTAGATGAGACGCGATATAGATCCCCAATAGATCGATCGCTACCCGCCGATCCAGTGGGTAGTCTGGACGTAC